TCCTAGCGTTGCTGTGAAGTCATCATTAAGGACTTGGGGTGATGTCTGGTGCATAGTAAGCGCTTGGTAGATGTGAGCTATTATGATGATGAGAGGGACTGGAGAATGACCTCTGCTTTTTGAGAGCCTGCCCGTGCCCAGAAGCCTGCGAGGCACCTTGAGAACATGAGCTCAAAGCCTCACAGCGGTCCCGCAAGGAGGGGTGGCGAAACCCACGAGGAAGACGTGGGCTGAGTAACTTGTCCACGGCTACGTGCTGGGGAGCAGCCAGGCTTGATCCAAAGCCAGATTGGTTGGCCTGATGCCAAAGCCCAGACTCTTCCCGCCCCTTCCCACCGGCTCTGGAGCCGGGCAGAGGTACGGCCGCTCGGGGCTGGCGAGGGTGAGATCGTGTCCTGTGCGCCCCTGGCGGGCGGCCAAGCACTGGATGCAGCCCTGAGGACGAGCCCCGCGTGCCTGACGTGTGTACACACCCAGGTCTGCAAGGCTGCCTCTGGCTCCTCCGTCAGAGCTCAGCTTCAATGCCACCTCCTCAGCGCTGTCTTCCGACACCCGTCTCGAGGCTCGTCCTCCTTCCCGTCCTTTCTGGTCTTATTTGTTTGTGTCAAAGGCCACAGACCCTGGACAGCCAGGCTGAAACCTGGGTCTGCCTCTTCCCAGCTGGGTGACCTGCTTAGCCTCTCCCAAGCCCCGTTTCCTCATCCTTCGAGTGGGGACTCCCAGCCCAGCCTCCTCCCTCGGGGGGTCCCTGCGAAGACTCATGCGTGGGGGGCAGGAAGGCGTGCTGGAACGGCGGGGCGTGGTCCACAGAGGGCACGCCGGCTTCGTGAAGTCGGAAGACAGCTCTGGCTCCGGCGAATGCCAGGGCATCGCGAGCAAGGCCCAGTCCTTTGCCCTGAAGAAATACTTTTTCCTTTTAAGGCAGTGAGCTAGATATTTATATACCGAATTTTAGGGTCTGATTAAAACCGGCCACTGAACGCGTTTGTCTGGAAATCAAGTCCCCAGCCTTGCTTTCCAGCCTTATCAGACTTCTCCACACCCCACCTCGCTCCACGCTTCTCGGAGCCCTGCTGCAAACGCTCACTGAGCGTTCACTGTGGCGCACCCCTGTCTAGGTGCCGGAGAACCACAGTGAGGAAAAGCAGACCCAGAGGTGATGGTGTGTGTGTGTGTGTGTGGGGGGGGGGCGTGGTGGTGGTGAGGGGGGAGACAGGAAGGAAATGATCGAAGACATAAAGCAAAGACTCGACCGCAGGAACTTGAGGGCCATGGTGCTGGGGCATGTGACCAAGTCAGGAAGGTCAATGAGGATGGATTAAGGCCTAAAGGAAGGTGGGAGGCGAGAAGCATTCCAGGCGGAGGGAACAGCCCGTGCAAAGACCCTGTGGCAGAGGAGTCTGATGCTTAGGAGAAACGGGAGAACTCTTCCTCCCACCTGCCTCCTGTACTTCCCTCCCCTGGGGCACCTCCTTCTCTGCATGGCTCCACAGAGGTGTGAGAAGCCTCTCCATTCTTCAAAATCAAGCCCAAATGCCTCCTCTTCCCAGAAGCCTTCCATGCTGTGCCCTTCTTCCACTCCCCAGGAAGCAACTGTCTCTCCTGCCTATGACCTCCCTCACCTCCCTGCCCCCTCCGTGGGCCCTCACTCATGCCATCTTGTATATAGACGCTGCCCAGGTCTCATCTCCCCAACCAGGACATAAAGCCGTAAGGGCAGGAACTGACTTCTCCAATGTAGACTTAGAGTCACATGCTCCCAGGTTTAAATCCTAGTGAAGGCCATTTAGGAGTGGGACTTAGCATAAAGGACTGCTTCTCTGGGCTTCCATTTCCTCATCTGGCAAAGGGGGTACTGTGGTGAGGGCGTGGGGTGGCGGCACAGTCCCCGGCATCCACGAGAGTGGGGTGTGCCAAGGGGCTTAGAGCAGAGGAGGGGGAGGGGGCGTTATGATCCAGAAAGCCTCAGGGATGGAGGGCTCACAGGGCCTTAGACTCCCTTAGACCCGAGTTTCCCAAATTTGTCTGATAGCAAGAACCATTTGAGCCGCTTGATAGAAATGCAGATTCTCGCTTACTCCTGGGGTTCTGGAACGGAAGTCTGGGGCGGAGTCCAGAACCTGCATTCTGAAAAGCTCTCAGTTCGGTGGGGAAAATGAGGCCCAGAGGGAGGGGTGATCTTCACGAGTGTGATAGGTTGGACCAGTTGCCTTAGCCCTTCCTCTCTGTGACAGGATTATGCACCCACACGCTTTGCCAAGTAACTCGGCAGGACTCACTTACTGTGGGCGACTGCACCGCAAGCAGAGACATGTGTTTGTGAGGCGTGGCTTGGCCCGCCACGTGTGCTCCCACCATTCACCAGGAGAGAAATAAGCCTGGGTGGCTGCTGGTCCAACGAGAATGAGGAGACATATGGAACAGACTGAATCCAGCCCACGTTCTGGAGTCCTGCCCGGCCCAGCCTGTGCAGATTAGCTAAACTCTAGCTGACCCACAGACTAGTGAGTGAGAAAACAAATGTTTATTGTGGTAAATAACTGAGTTGTGAGGCGTTTTTGTTATGCAGCATTATGGCAGCAATAACTGACTAATACACTCAGGTTACCCAGCAGATGAATGGCAAAGCTGGGATTCAGACTCAGGTTCCCTGCTCCTAATCCAGTGCTAGTGTCTTACTGCTTCTGTCCCTCAATCCTGAGGGCTCCTTGGGCACCGTCCTCTCTGGGAGCCCCTCACTTCTACTCTGCCCCACCTCTGTTCTCTGGGAGCTTCCAGCTCCAGACAAGGGGGCTCCATTCCAGTAGCCCAGACTCCATCCTTGCTGCTAATATGCCGAGGCTTCTTGAGTAGGCAGTCCCACCCTCAGGGCTCCCAAATGGATTCAGGGAAAGCCTCCCTCCCCCCTACCCCTCCAACCAGGGAAAGAAATCCAGTGGCTCTGGGGAATTCTAGCTTCTCCCAGTTGAAAAGAGTTCCCTCCCCTCCACTCCCACTGGGAGCCTGGCTTCCCTACCTCGGGGCTTTGTCAAGCTGGAGACCTCACAGCGGAGGCTTGACAACCTGTTAGGTGTCTCTGCCAACAGCTGCTGGCTTCTGAGGTTCTCTCAGATTGCCCACCTCGAGTCAGCTCCACCCGGACCCCAATCTGAGCGGGACTTAAATGCACCCATGGCCCTTCAAGAACTGCAGGCACACGCTCAAAAACATGCCCGCTCAGCCACAGCGATACCACAAACATTCACAAACAAAACCACACCACTCCTTCTCAGACACAAACACACAGACAGGCAAACCACGGTCAGACATACAAACTCATGTTCAAACACACCCCCTCCACGTCCCTCAGATCCAGACACACCCACGCTCAGGAATGCATGTGTCAGTAAGAAGACGCACGCCAAGGTCACAGGCAATCACACACACACACAGTCACCCAAACAACAGGACATACCCACACCTTCTCCAAATATACTTCCTCACACGCACACTCAGACCCACAGTCACACTTAAGTCTCCTTGGACATATATACCCTGGATTTAGTCCAAGCACTGGAGTCTGTTAGATCTAGTTAATTCCTATCTCGTATCTTCCTGCTTTGTGACTCTACTTTTCTGAGCACCATCTGTAAAATGGGGACACAGATGCCTCCTACTCAAGGAGACCAGGGGCTGCAGTGAGGTCAAGCTTGGAAAGCACCCCTCAACCAGGTGGAGCTGGTTGCCCTCTCTCCTTCCATGTCCTATGCATGCCCTCCCCACTCCTGGAATTCCATTTCTTTCGATGGCTCTCTTCAAATTTCTACCGGGCCTTTAAACGACAGGTCAAATCCTGCCTCCTGTGGCAAGCCTCCCCACGCCTCCACCTCTGGATCCCCTGAACAAGAAGCTGGATAGTGCACTCATTTTCTTTCCTGAAGCCTGGCCACCCTGGTTCCTCCTTGGACAGGGCCCAGATCACACTCACAGCAGGGGCCTGGCGAGGACTGTTGAGTGACTAACTGAGGGACACAGTCACAGTGGCAACCACAAAGTTTTCAACCCACAGGAACCGTAAGGTCCTTGAAAGTCTCACGTTGCCCTTGGCTGGGGGATGAGGCTGCAAGTGTCTCCCGTACGTGGCCACATGGAGGTCCCCGTGACCCTGAGGACAGTGGTCTTGGTGGAAAGATGGGACCGGGCACCTACGTGGAATGGACTGAGGGGAAGTAGGGGTGGGGGGGAGACTGCATCGTTTGGCAATGCTTTTTTGCTGTGAAGGAAGGCAGGGTGGGAGATGGAGGGCGGCATGGCGTCACAGGAAGGATTATTAAAGGTGGGCGTAGGGAGAAGGGTTTGGGTGGAGTGAGATTGGAAAGGGCTGCAGGTTCAAAGAAAGCACCGTGGGAACTGCTAGAGGCCCACCTTCTGCTGTGCCGGAGACTGAAGTCAGGCTGGAGAGAACATGCCTCCTTTGTGGCTCGGGGACCCCACATGACCAAGCTCCTTCCAGTGGACGGTGCACAGAAGCGATGGTGCACCTCTGCCCCCTTGCTTACAGCCCTGTCCCTGCCCGGGTCTCCTCCCTCCCGCCCCAACTGCAGGCCGGAGCACAGACATGCTGACTCTGCGTTGCCCACGGAGGCAGGTGAGACAACAAGCCGGGAGGGGCCCATGTCCCTGGATCTCCAGCGATCAGGGCTTGCCCTGCGAACCTGACTGCTCACTCCTGGACCCCTACGTGAGAGAGAAATGCATCGCTGTCCCCACAGCCACCCAGCACTGGGCCATTTTGTCATAGCAGCTTCACTTTCACTAATACACGTTCAACAAGTGGCAGCAGTTATTATAAACACCACGACAATGGTTAACGCTCTCCCAGGTGGCAGGCTCACACACACAGCCTTTGAAGAGCGGAAACCGCAGGTGTGAGGGCGTCTTTCACGGAGGCTGGCAGGATACCCAGTTGGCACAGCGCGGCGCCCGGCACTGCCCCCGGAGCCTGCCTGGGAAGCGCTTACCTGCTTGGTTGGTGGTGATGTTCACGGAGGCGAACTGAGGGGAGAAGGGGCTCTGGTCGGTGACGCCGTTCACGGCCTGGATCTCGAAGGTGTACTGGGTGTGGGCCAGCAGGTCGCTGATGTAGATGCGGGGCTCCGTCAGGCCCAGCTGGCGGGGTGCATACTGCACGTTGTCCCCACAGCGGGTGCAGGCGCCCCGGCCGGAGCCACAGCTCTTGCAGATGATGTTATAGACGAGATCCTCCCGGCCTCCGGAGTCGCGGGGCGGGGTCCACTCTAACATGAGTGAGGTCTCGTTGACGCTGGAGATCACGGCCTGGGGTGCAGAGGGGATGGCTGGGGAGGGGGAGGGGGAGGGGTGCCGGTCAATGGGGGCTCTGGGGGTATGTTTCTGCCCTGGCTCCAGCCCACGCCTCCCAAAAGGCTTCCTCCAAGTACTTTCCCCTCGTCACCCACCAGAGAGATGTTTCTAGAATATAACTCTAATCCTGTTGCACACCCTTCTCCCTAGACGTCAGCCTCCTCGGTGTGTGTTACCAGGGACAGTCCTTTTGTGTTGGGGGTTTTGCCCACACAACATCTACTTCCCCTTTTCCCTTATATCAGAACCCGATTTTATTCAGGTGGCAAGACGTCCAGCCGAGAGACTGTATTTCCCAGCCTTCTCTGGTGAAGTGCCGACTATGGACTGTAGCGGAAGTTGGTGGTTAGGACCCTTCCTTAAAAGGAGACAGCCGCAGAGTATCCCTCATCCCCTTCCTCCTCTCTGCTGCCTAGAACATGTGTGATGGCTGGCGCTTCGGCAGCAATGTTGGACTACGAAGAGACCTGAGGGATGGGAACCACCGGCCAGGAATGGCAGAGCAGGAGAGCCAGGTTCCGAGAACCCCATGATTTACCACGCTCTCCCGGGACTGCCTATCCCCGGGCTTCTGTGAGGTAGGAGAATAAACCCTGATGGTTTCTGCCACGGGGGCCAGCTCTGTGACCAGCAGCTGAGTGCCATTCCTGTGTGATGCGGGGGCTGTAACACTGCCCTCGGAGTCACCCTTCCTTAGAGAACCTCGGCCTGCGACTCGGGCAGCCGCTGCCAGGTTAGCCCGCCGGGCAGCCTTTCCTGCCACAGACACCACCTGTGTTGGTTCTTTCTCTGCCAACCCTGCCATTGTCTGTCCTTTTGTAAATCCAGACCTTGACTGTATCCTCCCTGTGACTTCACGGAAGGGGGTGAGGAGCCAGATGCCAGCTCTGTGGCATCTGCACGTTGGCAGCCTGGCCACCCCAGGGACTGCCCCCGATGGTCCTTTTCCAACCACTCTCCCTCCCCCTCCCCCCTGCAGGTCCTCCTCACTCAGGAAAGGCTGGCTGTAGCCGGACAGCCGCCCGGCCTTCGCTCTGGGCTTTTCTGCAGGAGACTGTGGACTCGGCGTCCCCCTCAAGGGGCCCCCGACGTACTTGTGCAGGGCATGTCCAGCGGGTCCAGGTCTGCTCGGTAGTAGCCGTTGCGGCAGACACAGTTGGTGGCCCCTTCCGAAGTGGTCCGGCTGTTGATGGGGCAGTGGGTGCAGGCCTCGTCCCCTTGGTTGGCCTTGAAGGTTCCAGATGGGCAACCTGGGAGAGAAGACAAAGAGAGGCGCCGAGTAAACCAGTGGGCTCGGAGAGGACCCCGCGTCTCATGGAGGGGGCACGCAGCATCACCAGGGGCCAGGAGGCCTGTGGAAGGGGCCATGCAGCGTCACTGCTGAGAAACACCATCAACTGAAGTTCATGGGGGTCTCCACGCCCCAACGAGGCAGCCCTAGCTGTGCCCAGGAGGTTCCAGGCACCTGCTTTCTTGTCTCTAAAGCTGTCAATGCGTTCAGCTGGGCCCCTGGCAAGCCTTCCTTACCTGCTCCAGGTCGGCTGTGCCACAGCTCCTAGGAGCAACCCTGACTTCTTAGTCTGAAGACTCTGAAGAGGCCTATGGCAGTGCCCGGGGCCCAGTCTCGCTTACCAATGGCTGGTCCTGGGTTCCAGATGATTGAGATTACATTCCAGTAGGCAGGCCTTAGCACAGTGCAGAGCATGGAGAGAGGCAATTCGGTTAGCAGGCAAGGCCACTGGTTTTGGATGCAGACAGACCTGGGTTTGAGTCCCAGCGTGGCCTGGTACTAGCTGTGTGGCCCTAGACAAGTGGCTTAACCATTCTGAGACTCAGTTTCCTTACCTGTAAAATATGACTCTAAGGCCCATTTCTGCGGGCCATTGTGGGCATTTGGCGTAAGCGTGTGAAGCACATGACATGAGGCTTTGCACCGTCTAGGTGCCCGATGAATAGTAGCGGTTATGATAGGCGTTTGATCAATTTACTAGATAAAAGGCTCCGAAGTACCGGGGAGAGCCTGAGGAGGGCAGCGTTTGCACTTGGTGGGCACTGAGCCATGTGGGATCTCACAGGGTCTTTGGCCTTCTTCCCTGCTCTGGGGGATGCTCAGGATTTGGGTTCAGGCCCGACAGCTCAGGGCTCAGGTCCTACAAGAGGTCACCACTCCTGTGTGGGCCTGTGTGCCCTTCCTTCTGGCCCTGGCTTGGGAATCAGGAGGCCTGGGCTCTAGGCCCTGCCCCTTTCCTGGCCTGTTTCTTCTTCCACCCACTGGGGTTCATAATCCCCGCTCTGCTGTGGTGCCGTGGGGGAGATCGTGCCAGGTGTACGTGAGAAGGTGGACAGGGAAGAGCTTTGCAAGGGGCAGGTTCCTCCCTGGGACGAAATGCAGCTAAACTGTCCACAGGCCTGCACTCTCACCTGATCACATTCTGTGCTGGAGTACCGTGTGAGCTCTGGTCAGCAAGCCCACCTCTCCGAGCATCGCTTTCCTCCTATGTAAACGGCTAACATACATTTATTTCCCAAATCGTTTTTCCAGCCGCAGACTCCAAGCGTATCTTTCAAGTCCAAGGCTTAGGAAATCACTCATCAAGGGGTCTCCTGGCCCTGCTCTCGGCTCCCCCAGGATCGGAGCGATGTCTGGTTCGCAGCTCCTCCCCGTGCCTAGCATGGAACCTGGCGCTCAGGCGCTCCATCTCAATACTTCTAGACACTGCCTGCTTACGAGGAAAGAGCTTGGGCTTTGGCGGCCATGCACGTAGAAAGGCAGTGAAGAGTGGTGGTCAGCATGCCGGCTGCCTGCAAACCCCAGCTCCACCGGTGCCAGCGGTGTGACCTTGGGCAAGTCACCTAAGCTGTTCCCTCACCTGTGAAATGGGAACAATAGTATCTACCTCCTAGAGTCGTGGTGAGGAGGACATTTGGTTCATTTAGGCAACAATGCCTAGAACAATTCCTGGCATTATCAAACTAGCTGGTTCAAATACCAATCCGCTGGGTGACCTCAGACAAGTGGTTCAACTTCTCTGAGCTACAGTTTTCTCATTGGTAAGAGCATCTACTCCCTAAGGTGGCTGTGAGTATTGCAATCGATGAGCAGTACTGGCCCAGGGTTGGGAGGGGTTGGGGGTTGCAGCTGCAATCTCAGGGCTTGCCGCTAGAAAATGCCCCCCCGCACCCCCGCCCCGGCCCCACTTTGCAACCACCCTAATCAACACCCCCCTGATGATGCCACCCTGACCAGGCCCTGTGGGGGTCTCGGAGAAGAACCCGCTCCAGCCCAGTCTTTAAGGAGCTGCCAGGCGAGGGGGAAGACAGACTGACACACCGACCAGGTAGCCTGACACCAGCAGGGATGGCCGTGGGGTCTCTGGGGGGTAGTTAGGCTTCCATCGCACAGACGGGAAACAGGGCTCCGGAGCATACCGTGCCACGGCGGCTTTTATCGAGTGCCGATGAGATGCTGGCGCTGTTCTACGGACTTAACTCGTAATAACTCATCCAAGCCTCACCAGCCCATGACGGAGGTGACGTTACCCCCCGTTTTCAGATGGGGAACCAAAGCAGAAGTGAAGTAACTTTCCAAGGACGTGGGCTTACAGTGGCAGAGCTGGGATTCTATGCCAGGTGGTCTGACTCCAGGGACTGCTTCCCTAACCACCACACCACACCACCTTGATGTGACTCGAATTGCGTCAACGGTCCATGCGTGCTGAGCAGGGGCTGGCAGCTTCTGCTCCAGGCATCTGTCCAGGACTCTCTCCACTTTGCCGTGCTGGCTCTGGGGCCCCCACGTCCCCCTCCCTTCCTTCCTCCCTCCCTCCCTCCCTCCCTCTCGTCTTCCTCTTAGGCACCAACCTTCCCCTGCTGGCTCTATAAAGGGGCAGCCCTGGCTCTAGTTGAGCAGCTGACCTCTCTGAGCCTCAGTTTTCTCTGCTGTAGAATGGGAGCACAGGGCTCCTGTGAGAGTCTAGGTCTAGGACCATTCTGATAGATGCCAAAGGGTTTTGGCTCTAAGACCAAGATCCTCCTGGCTCCATGTTTAGTGTGTCTCTTCCATCTGCTGGTGATTCCCTGGGCCCAGCTGAAGTGGCTGCCCACTCTCCCCTCCGTACTGTGCCAGCCCCTCCATCTGGACCGCCTTCCCGGCTGTCCTCTCCCATCACCAGGCCCTGGTCCCTCTCAGACACCCCAGGCTGCCTCCTCCAGGAGCGTTCTCTCATTAGGAGTGCTGCCCAGCCACCCTTGGCCCTCCCATCGGGCATCTGTGGTTTCTGTATCTCTTGGCACTGTGCTTCATGAAACCCTTTCTCCTGTCATTCCTCCCGCTCCCCCCTGCAGCCAATCAATTACCACGTCTCCCCTCCCCAGCAGTGCCCGGTCCTGGCTCTTCTTCGCTGCCCTCCCACCCACTCTTTAGCTTCTTCTGGCCATCTGGCCTCCTCCTGCCTACCCTCCAGGACCAGCTTTCCAAAGTGTAAGCCTTTCTGTGCCACTGACTAGTAAAAACCCACCTTGGCTTATCATGGAATATTATTTGGCCCTAAAAATGAATGAAGGCCTGATTCATGCTACAACACGGGTGAAGCTCGAAAACACTGCTTAGTGAAAGGAGCCAGTCACAGAAGGCCACACAGTATATGCTTCTACGCCGATGGAAATGTCCAGAACAGGCACACCCACGGAGAGAGAACGTAGATTAGCGGTTGCCAGGGGCTGGGGAGAGCAGAGAAAGGGGAATGACGCCATGGGTAATGGGTTTCTTTCCTGAGGTGATGAGAACGTTCTAAAATTGACTGTGGTGATGGTTGCACAATTCTGAATACACTAAAAGTTACTGACTTGTACAATTTAAATAGGGGAACTGTATGGTATATGAGTTCTATCACAATAAAACGGCTATTTAAGAAAAATTCACAATAGCCCCCAAGCACCTCAGGCCCCCGGTGCCCCCAGGGCTGGCACATGCCCATCTCAGTGCCCACTAGCCAAGCCTGTGCCTGATGGTCTACACAGTCAACTGCATAGGGTGCCACCCCAAGGCCCCCCTCCACACCTCCGGCCTTTGGTGATCCTGTCCTTGTTACCTGGAGTGCCTGCCCTTTGTCATAAGGTAAAGTCCTACATTCTTTTAAGACACAGCGCAGGTATCACCTCTGCAGGAAAGTCTTCCCTAAGATCCTAGGCCGGGTTGAGGTGACCATTTTAATTACTTCCTTGTGAACCTGCAAGTACCTGGCTGGACTGTAACCTCCCAATTCAATGCCGGGTACCCAGTGGGCGATGGGTGGATGAAGGGAGGGGCTGGAAGAGCATCCAGCTCAACCACCTTACTTGACATTTGAGGAAACTGAGGCCCAGAGAGGAGCAGACACACACGGCTCTTCTCTGATCTCAGCTATACTGTGCGACTCCGAGGTGTCCTGGGGCCTCAGCTCCCATCAGCCACCTCCTCTCCCACGGAAAGAGGCCTGGGGTGGCTGCCATCCACAGAGCCCGGTGCCCTAGGGGCCATGCTGCTCGTAGCTTCTCAGCTGGGAAGGCACCTGTCCCGCCAACATCTGAGTCTCGTACGGAAGTGGGAAGAAAACAACGAGACCTGAAGACACAGACTCGGGCAGCGGTACCCCTGCCAGGAGTGTGGGCTCAGGGGCACCTGCCGTCTCTGAGACTCAGTCCCTCCAGAGAGGGAGCTGACGATACCTACATGGGACAGACGAAGTGAGAGTCTCTCAAAGGGTCTCCCTGCCCACGATCCTCCACGATCTGATGAGAATGAGTCGGACCCACCACACCCTGCTCCCCACCAGGCACTAGAACGAACCTACACACCTCGCCCTGGCCCATAAGACCTGCAAGGTTGGCTCTGCTGTCTTCCTGCCACTCCCCTCACTTACTGTGCTCCAGCCCCTGGTCATCAAGAGCGTTCTCACCCAGGGCCTTGGGCCATGCTGTACCCCCTGCTCTTCCCGTGCCTGATCCTTTTCATCCTTCGGGGCCCAGCTTCAGTGTCACCGTCTGGAGAGGCCTGCCCTGGCCATCCTGACTAAGTGATTCTCTCGCTACGATGTCTGTCTCTGTTTCCTTCATCACAATTTTGTAATTACAGCTGACCCCTGAACAGGGCTGACTGTAGAGTCAAAAGTTATAGGCAGATTTTCAACCACACGGGGGAGAGGGGGTTGGTGCCTCTCACTCCCTCGTTTTTTCAAGGGTCCACTGTATATTAGAAAACAGCGTATAAATG